CGTAGGATCTACGAAGCAGGCCCAGCAAAGCTTGGCAAAATCTGCTAACGCCCTAAGCCCTACTATAGTTTCCTTTTTCTTTTCCAGTATCCCTATATATAGTAGTTTCCACTGTGAGAAGTTGTCGTGATTGCGGAATGACTTACAAGGATCATGTCGTCAGCCATTTGGCTTTACACTTTGTGATTGCATGCTCTAGGTATTCTTTTCACGTTGAAATACCCAGGCACCAAAAAATCAGAGGGATCCAACACATGAAACCCCTTCAGAACAAGCCCGATACCGTATTGCGACAAAAAGATTGAGTGACAGGAAATGACAGGCACAGGTCACTTTTTGATAGGACCCACCCTTGTCCTCCCTGCCCCCCCGCCCCCCACTGCACATCCCCAAGCAAGGCCTAACAAGAGGCTCTTATGGCCCCAGCTCTTTCGGGCCCATATAGTGAAGAAGCCAAGGGTCACGGCATGATCTTTTTTGATGACTTGATGCGACAGAGGCCAAGTTAGCCCACAACTACTGCGGATCAATCTAACTTGACTCCTCAACAGCAAGCATTGTATGTATTTGATAAGGCGGCATGAAGCCTGACTCACCTTCAGTTTCTCCCCAGCAAAGCAACACCTTGTGCGGCGAGTGTCTCGAGCGCCTTCTCGTGGTACTGCATGGCGCTCTGCCAGTTGCCTCCCTGCTCCTGTGCGCAAGCAGCTAGAACCTCCTGACCAAGCGTGTCTTACCCCTGACTGACAATGACTAATGCGGAATCCCCCGATGGGGGGGGGTCTCTAAAGTATCAACAAAAACTGTCCTTTCCGTATGGGATGCCGCCTTAGCTACTAGCACTGGCAGCAACCGTCACGTCAGCAGAAGGACCACTGCCAAAAGTCCTTGCCATCAGAAACATGTGTCCAGCTTGAGGCACCAGAGCTAAAAACAATGAACCACCATGCCATACCATGGCAAAGTCTTAGAAGCCTGTAACCCCCTTAAATAAATGGAACATGGAATTGCCCAACATCATGATAAGATCCTCATATACCCCATGTTCTATCTAGTTGAAAAGGACTATAACCCTATGGCCCTAAACAAATAAGCATGGTCACTGGTGTGTACTTGAGCACCCTTACTGTAAACTCTGAAGCCCCTGAGGCACAGCATGTCCAGGAACCTAGGGAGCCCATATAAGTCAGGGTTTAGGATTTAGGGTTGTCTAAACTCCTAGTATCCCCTTTTATAACCCCTATAATTGTCCCCTTATAACCCCATTAAGGAGTTTAGACTACAGCCTATATTATGGGGTTTCCCAAAATTGGGGGTACCTTTTTGGGGTTCTGCAGAATGAGGATTATGGTGTATTCGGGTCTATATTGGGGTCCCCACCCACTTAGGGGGTTTACCATATTCTCAATCCAGGACCGAAGAAACAGGGAAAGCGTGTTACTGGGAAAGCGAGAACCTGCGGTCCTCGCAGCTGCCCATGTTGAGGTTAGCTTTCGCGATGCTTTCCCAAGCCTCAACCTGTCAAAACTTAGGGTTCAGGGTTTAGGGGGGATGATAAGCTGCCAAGTTTGGGGTGTGGGCGCACCTCGCGAGATTACACTTCTCCAAGCCACGAACGTGGCGCTACAAAGACTACATCCTGGGAAAGAGGACCAGGCCATCTTCCACGCTTGCTTGTGAAACCCTAGCGGTCCAAGTGCCCAATTATCATATACCTTGCCCGAACCTTACAATTACTAGCTCCAATCTCCCAAGTATCCAAGAATCGGGTACATGGAATCTAAACTACCGTTGGCCCTATACCCTAAGACCCCTAAGCCTGTAGGTACATGGGCGGGCTCTTTTGAGAAGCTCCCATCTGGGAACTGGAACTGCTAGGGCTATCGATTGCAGCCTATAGAGCTCAAGGGACCTGGCTGTCCAAAAGAATTCAAAACCCTGTGGGGTAGCCTCTGTTGGGGAAGAGCATGGTACATTCTATGCTTGCCCCGCCCCAACTTCGGATAAGATCAGACTTCGACGAGTCCAGGGGTGTGGGGATTTGTTGGGTTTTAAAGGTGCTTGGGGGCACGCTCAACTACCCCAAGCCGCAGAGTTAAACCCTCCACTCCAACTTTACACACCACGGCTCTACCCACAAGCGTATGACTATCTCTGAAAGTACGTGGTCGAAGCAAGTGTTGGCCGCTGCGCCTCTGCGGCGACGTCAGCGCACCTCTGGTAGAAGTACCTGGTCTGCTGAAATGTAGAAAATCTCGGGACGACAATGCAAGCTTAGTTGCAGGTCTTGCAGGAAATTCTGATGATTGAGGTGTTACCCTCGGAAGGGAGCCTTGCGCGGCTCACTTAACGCCATTTTTGTCGAACTGTTTCTGTTGAAAAAGGATACCAGTAAGAACTATAGGGCAGTCATAGTAAGCATTATGATTGTGAGAGCTATGCAGGCTGCTTCTGCTGGAGATTTGGCATACTGTACTGGACACAGAGCTCAAATCCGCGAGGAACTCGCTGTCGGCAACCCACAACCTACTGGGGCTTAGTAGGGAATGAGGGAATAAAATATATCGGGGTTCTATAGGGATTATACTCCTTTAACCTAAAACATATGGGGATTCTGTAGGGATTATACTCCTTTAGCCTAAAATATATGGGGATTCTATAGGGAGTATACTCCTTTAACTTTTAAGGAAAAGAGCACCTTTTAGGCTGGTGTCGCCTTAGCCTTGGAAACGATCCATACTGTCAGCCTCAGAGGAGTCACACGGAGTTCCCTGTTTGTCTAGGACTGTATAGTATAGAACAATCAGAATATGATATTAAGAAATGTACAAGGTAGTTTCCCTAAATTACTGTTCCCAAAATGGGGGAAATTTATATAGGGCCCCGTATTATAATGGGAACCCAAATATAGGACTCCGTATTATAGGGAATTTAGACCAATCCCCACAAAAACAGTATAATAACCAAGAACTAGCAGGATGAAACTAAACAGGAGGTGCAACTTGTGCAGCTATGAAGAGCAGTATATTTAAACAGAACTCCTGTAAAAGGCGCGAACTGCGGAGGCTTCACTACAACAACTGGGCCTGCAGTGTCTGAAGGTACACAACATTCTGTACATATTGCCCACTGTATCAAAGATGCCACTTTACCACAAGACATCCCTGGATGGCCCTTACGAACCCCAGCAACCAACAACCTCCTTGTGGCGCCCCACATTCCCAAACCATAATGGACCAACAACACTAACCGCAAAATCCTCAAAGCCCGAAGCCCCAGGCCCGCGAATCCCCATTTCAAGCGCAGTTCGGGGCACATCGCGCTCTTCAGGTCGGGGACTGTTTCGAAGAATTCTGCTAAGGAGTTGTAGCTTTCGTAGCCTTCGCTCGTGTTCCGGGGGCTTAGAATTGAAGGGGGTGAGGTTCAGGGTCGAAGGCCTTATTGCACTATCCTTGTTTGTCGCTGAATTTGTTGAGATCGGACTAGGGGCTCCTACCAGGTTCACTCTGCAGGTTCTTGCCTACAAGCTTACTGCCTTTTGCATTCCGCTGACGTGGCGTTGAGAGCGGTTGGAAGCTGGAAGCACCATCCTTTGAAAAACAATCCGAGCAACCCCCAAGCTTTGTGGAACACACAGGCCTGAAATGAGGGTTTCCCAAAATTAGGGGTACCTTTTTTGGGGGTCCCTATAACAAGGACTATAGTATTTTGGAGTCTATATTGGGGTCCCTCTACTTTGGGACACTACCAAATCCCTTCTTTGTCGGCATGATGATCTGATTCACACAGTGAGCGCCCAAGTTTAAGGCCAGGCTTCTGCGCATGGCGACTCCGAAGTCACACCCCACGCACGCACTCACCCATCCTCCCGCGGCGCGGGCCACAGACCCACCAGATCAGTAGTAAATTATAGTCCCGCTTAAGTAGATAGAATATGGCTTTGTATATATTATAATAAGATCCCCATATACCCCATATTCTATATACCTTACATGAACCTCTCTGGGCAGAAGACAAGCCGAGAAGCATGGCAAATGGCTGAGAACCCTTTCTGCCCTAAAACTTAACCCCCAAGTCCCTAATCCTAGCCCCTGAAACCTAAAGCAGCACCCTAAACTACATAGAATCCTCATCCTAAATCCTTGAACCTTAAATCCTGGCCCGTAAGGCCTCAAAATCCTGATCGTGGCCCCTATGACCTTAAGCCCTAAATCCCTAGATGCGAAAACCCTACATCCTAAATCCCTAAATCCCCAAACCCTAAGTACACTGGTCCCAAAACCCTAAATCCTAAATCCCTGAATCCCCGAACTCTAAATACACTAAATTCCTAAACCCTAAACCCCTCAACCCTAAAACCCTAAGCCCTAAGCCCTAAACAGGGCGAGGAGCATTGCAAGTAGCTACGAAGCCGCCGAGCCGACTCCGCTTGCTCCAAGGTCTCCTGTTGTATCTGCTGGGGACCCAAAGAGTCAGGATTTTTTTTTGCAACGCCTCTTTTCCAACTGCATGAGTTCGAAAAGCCATATCGGCAGGCGCAAAACAGGATTTAAGTTTTAGGATTTAGGGTTTAGGGCTTAGGGTTTAGGATTTAGGGTTGAGGGTTTAAGGTGGTATGGGCTCCTGGTATGGGCCTTCAACCCTGGGATCCCTATGTACCAGGCTATGTACCCCATGCATGCACCCAAAAGGGCACCCAAAAGGGTGCCTAGAATCCCACTACAACGGCCAAGGGCCCATCTGTAAGCGGCACATAATTACTTCCAACCTTGGACAAATGCGGGACCCTCCTCAGGAAGATTTAAGGGGTTTAGGTCTTGGGATTTCAGGCTTTGGGTAGCAAATGCAGAGGATTCTGCAGCTTTTCTATGGAATCATCTATTGTCAACATAAGGCACCACCCAGCCCCTCAACAGTTGGCATTCCCAACGCGTAGCGAACATAGCATAACTATGAGTAGAAATTACCCACTCAAGCTTGCTACCCACCTGAGCTGCCCTCTAGAAGGTAAAGTACTGCGACATCAACTCTCGAAGCAAACCACCACTAGGAACCTCGGCAGTTGGAATTTCTGGCTTGCATCCCTCTGACTGCCGTGGGCACAGGGGAGAAGCTTGCAAGCCTCAAAGCTGCAATGTACCTGCTAGATTCTATGGAAGAAATTCGTCACCACGACGGGTCTCCTCCAAATTCTTTTTTATTGCAGGAGTCTAGGGGCGATAGGCGGTGCAAGCCAAGCCTGTGCAGCGAATCTCTGATTAGATAACCAATTGTACCGCAAATCCCAGCTCGGGACACATAGACCCGTTACCCCATTATGTTGTGTAGGTTTAAAGATCTTGAAAAGGTGGGAAATGCTGAGCTGGCCTTGAGGAAGATGAGAGTCTCTTCTGGGATGACCACGTCTTTCACCTGCATCAGTCTACTTAGAGTCATATGAGGTATAGTCTGAACTCCTACTATCCCTGTTCAGAAGCCCTGTAGTACGAAACCGATATGGTACCCTATACAACACCCTCTAAGGAGTTTCGACTACAGCTCATATAGGGGGATATAAGGGTGCGTAGGAGCTACATAGTTTCTATATGGTGTGTATATAGGGGCATCTCGGTTTGAAGTAGTTATGATCGAGTTATAACTGTGCTCATCACCCATGCAGGTCTAAGCCCTCTGAATCAGTAATTTGGTTATACTTGACCTCTGAGTAGCTGGGTCCTAACTGACATCGGCCAGGATATACTCACCCCATTATGTCATGCACTGTATGGCGGTGGATTTCTTGTCAGGGGTGTGGAGCGGAGGGGTTATGGGGGGTAGAGGATCACCGGCCCTTGAGAGGGGAGCAGTTTGGGTTCTTCAAAGGGGTCGTTTTCATTTTCCAGGTCCAAACCCTTCCACCCCCCGAACAAAACAACACGCCAAACACTCTGCTGTTGTAGTCCTGCATGCTTGAAGCCCCGAAGTGATCAAATAGCAGTCATAGCCCGCCTCATCCTCGTTGGCTCCTTCTTTCGGTGCCGCCTGCCAGCAGTTTTTGGAAGCTTCGGGCTTGGGTCAAGGGCCTGGGGTGTAGGGTTCAAGGCCTGGGTTCAGAACAGAATGCTTCAGGCTTTCTCTGGCTGCTGTTTCAGGCTCTGACCTAATACCCCCTTGCATACTGGGATTTTGTAATAGAGAAGTAATGTTTCACAGTGATTCTTCTAGAGCGAGTTGTGCCAATCAGACGTCCCACAGCCAGTGCCATTATGTTCCCCAGAAAGTATCCAGACCCCTCAAAGCCCTAAACCCTAAATCCTGCCATCTGGGATTTTTTAGGGATGATCCACATTAGGTGGACACCCCACGCAGTAATAGTAACTGTAAGGGATCATAAGGAGTATATTAGGGCCCTCTTATATTGCTAGTCGGACATCACTTCCCCCTCGCAACACCACAACGAACCTCCCCCAAGTGGGAAGTTTTACTGGTGTTTGGTAGGGAACAAGGGAATATGATCCCTATCTCACTGCCATAAATTTTATTCCCTTGTTCCCTACTAACCCTCAGTAAGTAATGGTACTCATGGGGTGCCCGGGTTCATGTGGGATGATTAATTATGTTGGAGTTCTAGGCGAAGCTCCATTATAGTCCAAGCTTCGCTATAGCCCACAGAGAGTTCTACAATGCATACCCCCCCAAGGCCAATTCCACGTATTCTCTATGCCCCCCCCATCAGCCCGAGCTCAGTCTAGAGTGTGGGCCTTATTTATACGCCCCAAACCCCAGACCGTTTGGCTCCTTGCGGTGGGTGATGTAGAAGAAGTCCACGTAGGACTGAACGCATCCTCAGCCCAGCCAGTTTGCAGAACTTTATTTGGGTTTCAGGGTTTAGGGGAGTTTCCCGAAATCAGGGGTAAAAAGCTCATAGGGGTATAGAAGGCTTGTATGAGAATAGAGAGGATTGAGGCTGCCCGGAACTAAGGGTCCATGTTCGGGGGTTATACATGATGCGGCCTACATGTCTCACTTCGCGTGCAGTACCCTAAACACTAAACCCCTAAACCCTAAATCCCCCTCATTCAGGGTTTAGGATTAGGGGGTTATATAAGGGAATAAATATGGGAGTTTTGTCGGGGCTATTAATGGGGATACTCGGAGTTTAGACTATTGCTCATATCATGAATTTGGGGTCAAGCAGGACTGGTTTTGAGAAAGACCCACATCTCAGCTTGGTGGTAGCAATGAAGGCCAAACTTTGTATAGGCCCTTGAGCTGCTCGACGGTGTGGGTGCAAGTTCAGGTCCCACGGGCAAGTTAAAACAGTGAGGATTATAGTATATTGGGGTCTATATCGGGGAAATTATTCAAGACAACCAGCAATCAAACAGGATAGATTAGGGTTTAGGGTTTCCTTTTGGGGCAAGCTGAACATGAGCACTTCCAAGGGCAAGGCTAGTAGCTCCCGTTAGACATGCATCCGAAACCTTAGACGCTCAGTTCACCAAACCCTAGTAACTTTACTATTAGACTCCAACCGCAAATCCTTGGAAGTCACATCGGGGAGTAGAAAATTCGACCCTTAAATGTTACGTGTTCCCAACAAGGTAGGATGTGCTTTATGAAGCCTGATTCATACGATGCGTTTGATAATGTCGTACCAGCAAACAATAAATCAGCACTTGCCGGAATTCTCGAAAATGTCATAGTCCGTACTATTCGGACTCCCAAAAGCGTCCCCCAGGTTTTTGGAAAACACCACATCTCTCCGGTACAACGAGGTCGCAAATAATGCTTTCTGCTGTCACAGCACCCACCATCAGCAGGTCGATGCAAAGCTGCTGCTTGTCCAGGCCTTTGACCTGCAACTGCGACGTTGGGGACTTTCAGGATTGAATATGCCCATCATTTCAGAAATTTGAAAGGCAGTACCCTAACACCGCTACTGTATCATCACCAAACCACCTATATATGGCTTCCAACAACTCTAAGTCAAGCCAACACATTGGTCCCAGGTTTTGGGTGTGGGGAATTCAGGGTGTCAGAAATCGTCTTGACCTGCGAAGGTCAAAAATCAATTCGGGCCCTTTCTGGCGAGGCTGGTTTTGGTTGTCCGAATAAGAAGGCTGCTGCCATTCCGGGTGAATAGAATAGCCCACTGGATGATGGAAAAGAAAATGGAAACTACGTCATATAGGGTTTGGGGTTTAGGGTTCCAATTCTGAGCATCCCTTGTTAAGTACAAGGTGGGGTTACTACAAAATTTGATTGCAACTTGCTGGGGATGATGAGCATCAGCTCGTAATATTGACCTAACACGTTTCGTAAGGGAAACAACATGTCCGGGGTGTAACCCTTGGGCCCAGTTTGGGGAGGAGAGTGCGTCCTGAGGCACAGGCCACTCGTTGTTACACCTTGTTGTCGCAAAGCGTGCGCATAGAAAACGGGCAGTAACTGCGTGATGCTACGCGGGGCACGAGGAAAGTGTGTGCAAGGGAACCAGCAAGAAACGCAGCAAGCGCCAGCATCAGCGTCGACAAAACTCGACGCTGGGATCCGTCCGCCCCCGGGTATCCCAATGGGCAACTTCTGCTTCATCAATTCGGACGTAATGTTGGATGAGTCTTTCCTTTAGGAAAATGAGACACATTGTCGGCAGCGCTTCTCGTGAGCACATTGCCATGGCACATTGCTCGTTGTTGAACCTGTCACCTGCCTCGTGTGGGTTGGGATGTTTCCTCCAAGCTGCCACCAACTTCTGCCACTGTACAGCTATGGCTGGCTCCGTTGGCACATCTTCTTCGCATGCAGGCCATAAATGTACTGGTTTGATTGTGTATGCTGCTTTTGCTCTTGCCTCGGCTGTTCCGCGATCATACGAATTGGAGCGATGCACATGCGTGGATCATAGTACAGGGGCCTCAGTCTAGCAACATTTGGATAAGTACCAGGAATCTAGAAGTATAATATTGGCAACTTTTCGAACCCCTTATAGCTCCAGCAAACCCAATAGCTAATCAAAACTGGCCCAGTGGTTCAGTACTCAGAAACTGGCCTCAAGCCCGATAAGAATGTGTTTTCGAATGTTCTGGAAGAGGGGCCCAACTGAATTTGCTGGGACGCCTGCAAAGGCACATGCATATGCCCCGGAGTCTTCTTGATACGCACCAACCCGGATCGGCCTTGATAAGTCTATCGTCCTTGGCATCTGCTTTCTGCGCACCGTCGTCCTCCGCAGCTACGGGCGCAAAGCGGATTGTACTCTGGCACATGCATGAGTGCGTAACACCAGGAGCTATACAATTCATTCGTAAAATTCTCATATAAGCCCTCTAAGCCCTGTGTCAGCCTGCGAACGCCTTAACTTCATGCCGTCAAACTGCGCGTGATAGATGAAATGCAAGATGGACTGGGAGTTAGGCTGCTAGCTGCTAGCTATAACAAGTAAACCATGCCGAAACATTGCTATATGGGCATCGGAGTGGTTTATATTCATGGTAAACAGCTGCCCAGGGACGTCTCAGCCATGTAATCACCTCCTCTGATATTATACCCCAACCCCGTAAAATGAACTAGTCCTGATAAATGATGGTATACCGCAATGGGAAATTCAAACACTAGCCGGGGGGAAGGTCAAATATTCGCGGAGATACTTGCTATATGAGCCGCATGTTACCCTAGTGTCCACCTCATCTTCCATTTTATGGTTCCATTTGATTCTCCGTTATCACCCAACTCTACAGAATCTTGTGCTATTCATGTAAAAGCCCTATATATCCCGGAGTATCCGTATATAAACCCTATACAACCACGATAAGCATGCAGGGCTGGTGGCCTGCACGGTCTCGTCGACCTGCGCCTTCCCAAAACCACAACCGCAGGGACCAAGGAGCTAGACCCGTTTAGCTACATGGGGGTTTTCCGAAGTTAGGGGTACTTTTTTGGGGATACCTGTAATAAGAACTATGGTATTATGGGGGTCTATATTGGGGAGTCCCCCAATTTTGGGACACTACAATAGCAGCCTTGGACTAAGGAATAGTATATTCCTTAAAGCTGCTCCCTAAAACCCTCATACATCCTCCCAGAAGATTCCCCCGAACCTAACTTTAGACCGTAGCTCATGTCAAGCCCCATTGAGAGGTACTAGACGTACAGTCTGTGTTTTTGGGCTTTCTATGCTGACAATTCAAAATCACGATGTCTGGTTCCTTACTGGGGTGCTATCAAGAATTCTGGCCTTACCTTCTTTGTAAGGATTGATCACGGTAAGAACCAAAACATCATGATGAACAATTATATGTGGATTATGGAAGATTTTGTGGGGATTCTTTAGGAGACCCCAAGATCTAAACTCGAAACCCTAAACTGTGTCTCAGGGCTTCGAATTGATTTGTAGGTTAATAGGGGGCCTTACAAAGAGTTAGGGGTCTAGGGCTAAAGTCTAGGGTTTTGCAGTGAATGCCCCCCTGCAGGGATGAAGCTTTCCATCAATCTACGAGGAAAACAATGGGCTTCCGTTTCTGTACAGGCTACTTTGTCACACCAAACAAGAAAAGGGCAAAGAAAGCTTAATTACTGGGACACCTAGTTTGAAAAAGGCGCTGGCTGAAAATTACATGATCTGGTGTGTTTCTCTTCTGGGGTCCTGTTACTGTAGGCATGCGTTGTAACACGCTTTGTGGTTTTTAAGGGCATTCTACTTTTGGAAATCCCGTCTCATGTTTACAAAATCTTTGGACATGAGACCTCCCGAGCCTAGACCCTAAACACTAGATCAAGCTCGCAGATGTTGCGGTAGCTGACATCAATCAAACCATGGCAGCAGAGTTTATGTAATGTTTAAGAATAAGAGGGTTGAGGTGAAGGGTTGAGGCGGGCAGGGAGAATGGAAAAAGAGTGCCAGGGCGAGATATCTGGCAAACTACCCACTAGAAAACATCAAACTCTCAAGTAAAATTGCCGGTGGTGCTGCTGCTGCTGCATAAGGCGCATATCTGTGCCGACTCGTGAGCAATGGGTTTATGGGGGTTATATACGGGTTATATAGGGAATAAGGGAAAAGAAATTGGCAACTACTGTATGATAACAGGGTGGGTAACTTTAAGTTAGGTTCTAAATGCTAAAACGCGATCAACATCAAAAATCCAAGTTCGTCACTTTCCAAGGCAGCTGGCCAGATTAGAATCGATCACAGGCTTGAATACATTGCTGTGGGGGCAGGGGATAAGCCGAAATCCCAAAGGAGTTCTAGGGTTGAAGGTTTTTGGGATTTAGGATTTAGAGGGTTTAGGGTTTAGGTTTTTTAGGGTTTAGGACTTAGGGGTCCTTAGGGTAGGGTTCAGTGTTTGTAGGTTTAGGGTTTAAGGCTTTGAGGGTTTAGGGTTCTTATCGTTTAGAGGTTTTTGGGTTTTGAGTTTTGAGTGTAGGCTTTTGGCTTGGCACCTCCTCTGCACCAGCAACGGCGCTCTCGATAACGCCCACCTGGGCTACAGCCACTGTACCGATGAGAACGGAGCTTACATACCCATCATATATGATATAACCCCTGGCCCCATGTAGGAGTCCATAGTTAGGACCTTAGAACATGGGGGTTTCTCAAAAATTGGGGGCCTCTGGGGACCCTGGGGATATGTGGTGACCGAGAAGATTCGTGGCTTTCCCCATCAGCTGTTAGGGATATTCTCCAAACTCCCATATGATGTCAAGCCACAGCAAAGCAAGGCGCATATACAAATGTGCAATTTCATGTCAAAAACAAGCCCGTGCATGTATGTTTATGTGTACATGTATATGCTTTCCGGAGAGCGATGTGCGAGCTCACTAGTGGCGGCCCCAGGGAGCTATGTGGGGCATCGGCATTAGAGTGTTTTACGGCACGCGCAAGTTCTTTATTTTAGCTTCGGGCTACCAACGCCTGCAGGAGTGTTGGGGCGTTTCAAGTTGCCGATCCCTCCTGGGCCCGCTGCCCTCTACCATGAGCGCTTGCAGTTCGCGGCAAATTCTTTGCGAAGACGGGCTTCTGCGGATTGCATCCTGGATTGAAAACCATCCTCTGCAAGTAACAACTACACATCCCTCACCCTATGGAGCGTCCTCTGACACAACCCCAGAACAACCAATGGAATGCGCATGACCCAGTCTATCCTGCTATACCCCACCACGATATCCACTTCATTTTCCAAGTAGGGACCCTGAAGCTTAAACACTAAAGACTCAAAACCTCAACCCTTCCTAATCCCTGAACCCTAAACCCTAAGCCCCTAAACCCTAAGCCCTAAGCCCTAAACCCTATTCCCCAATCCCTAAACCCCAATCCCTATGATCCTATGACTCACAGTGCCCACCCAAGCGGCTTCCTCACCCGAGCCCTGGGATGGCATGCCAGGCGCAGCCTTCGTGCGAAGTAACGTGGCCGCGACGGGTGCGCGCAAAGATGCAAACTTAGGGCTGACAACTTGGGAGTTTAGGGTTTATAGGG